TCTTGTTATTTTCATTAAGTGCAATTTTTGAACCCGCTCAACTTTTTAAAAAATTTAAAAAAGTACTATATTTATGGAATTTATAATTTTAATCTCAATTAACTTCATGTTGACCCCACAAAAATGAATTATTAATTAACATTTTTAAAATTTTTCTCTCTTCTTCATTTACTCTCATATTATCTTTTTCTTTTGTTGGATATTAAAAAAATGTTATTCCTTTAGATTACAAGGTAAGATGATACTTATTTTATTTTATTTTTTATTTAAAATTTTTTTCTTTTAGCTTTGTTAATTGATGAAAGGTCATGAGCTATAAATTTTTGTTGATTGTAATAAATGAGTTTGAAATTGAAAGATTAAATTCCTAGATTTTGATGTGAGTTTTGATTTAATCTTATTTATGTTGAGGTATGGGTTAACTAATTGTTATTTTAAGTTAGGTTTGATAAATTTTGGTTAGTTATTGAATTAATTTTGAATGAGTTACAGAATTGATGAAACCCTAAGTGATAAAGATTTGAAGATTTGGTTTAATTTTGATATATTGGTTAATTGCTTGATATCTTGCTTGAATGGTTAATTACTTGATATTTAGAATTGATGAAACCCTAAGAATTGTCAATAAAGCAATTATGCAACTTTTCAGAATCTGAATAAATCAGCGAGGACAATTCTAGAATTGATAATTTGGTATGTAAAACTTTTAAAAGTACATTTTTTTATGCTTATTACTTCAGTATAAATTTTATTGTAAATTTACAACTTTAGTATTTTGAACCCACTTACTAAGAATCTGACTATGTCCCTATTAGTATTGAAAGGATTATACAAAGAAAAAACTAAAAGAAAGATAATAATTGTTCTTCATACACGAGATGAAAGTCATGATTGACAATGGACAGAGTTTAAATTAAAGAAAATTTAATTAAAAATAATCTCACAGATAATTTTTATTATAAACGAAGAAATAACTAAAGAAATTTGATCATCAATATATAATGAGGAAACAATTAATATTAAGCCTTATTTCAAAGAACCAAAATATATTTTTTTTTGAAGTCAAGAAAAAAAAATTAAATTTGAAAAATTCCAAATATTATTTATGGAGGCCTTGACTCAGGGTAGGCCTAGAAAAGGCTTAGCTTTTTTTTTTTTTTTGTAAGAGCTCCAATGTCACCCTATTAGAAGTTGTGGAGACTTGAACTCAGGAGGTCATATTAGATCCTTTTTTTTTTCTCTTTACCATAAAGGGACTCGAACTTGGAAAACCATATCAATTCTCCTTTTTTGGAAAACCATATCATATTCTCTTTTTGCTCTTTTCCATCAAAGAGACTCGAACTTGGAAAACCATAATAGATTTTCCTTTGGTTTTTATATCAGGCCACCCAGTGTTAGTTACATCAAAATATTGAAGTTAGGAAAAAAAAGAAAATAAAAAAATTCTTATTTTGATGCATTATTTTAAAGGGTCGAAACATAAAAATAAAATTAAACAAGTGTTATAATATTTTACTATAAAAGCTACATAAATCTCAATATTTTATTAATAGGAATTTTATTTTAGTTTAATTTGGAGGTGTTGTTATTTGTGTTGGCTTAATAACTAAATCATTAGGAGATTTTCTTGATTTGTTTTACAGTCATTAAAGTATTATAATTTTTTTTCATATCATCAAACACAATCATAAATATATAATTATAAAGAGCATATAGATAAATACTCATATTTTTATAACTTTTACCCATATAAGTTTATCTAAAATATATATTAAGTTTAATTAATGTCTTGACCCTTAGAATAAGTTTCTGGCTGCATCCTGGTTGCAATGGCTAATGTTGAAGTGATGTAAAATATTGACATATTCTTCCACTTGTAAACAGAATGGCAAAAGTTATGGGCAAGGGAACTGCTCCATACGTGCCATGTGGCACAATAGATAACCTAATTGTTTATAATGCCTACATCAATAAATGAGGGAAAAATATGTACTTTCATAAAGATGCAATAACATAAATATGACATCCAAAAAGGACAATGGTATTGAACACCAGTAGCCATCAATCAAGACTATGCCAATTTCCTATATTATAATTCTCTCTCTCTCTCTCTTTCTCTCTCTCTCTCGCTATGGATACTCAATTTCCTATATTTATGGTTAAACGGAGATTTAAATTCCATTAGGAAACATGTTGTTGAAAACCGGTTTGACATTGTTGTTTGAAAACACAAAAAAAAAAATGTTATATTTTGAAATTTTATCACTTATACAATTAATAAAATCTATTTAAAAAGCCATTTATTTTTTCATCTTGATGAGCTTGTCTTAAATAGGTCAATACTTCATTTTCGTTTATAATTATATATAAAAAATATTAATTTGAAATGAAAATTGATGTTTTTTAACAGAAAACAAAATATGAAAAAAATAAAGGAACAATTTCTTTTTCTTATATACTAAAATCATAAACGAACACATTTTTTTCATCAATTTCTATGTCCAAAACAAAAAAGGGTAAGTTAAAAATGTAACTGAACAGGCCCTAAGATACTTCTTGTCTTTTGCTTATTACATTTTAATATGTAAAATCGAAAATTAAGAAATTACAATAGATTTTGATATCATATTTTATGGTTAAAAATAAAAGAGAAACAAACAAAAATAAGCCTACTTCTCAAGAAAAATTATTGTTAAATTGTTCTTCTGTTGTGATCGAATAACAAAACATTTAATAATTGAAATTAGTTATATTCGGAGGTCTTGTATTTAAATAATCAGAGAGAAAATTACCGAGTTTACCCAAAAACAAAATTTTACTTTATAATAATGAATAATATAAGCACATATAGAATTTAACCGAAAAACAATCTTGAGCACCGAGCAATTATGTATTTTTGCTTAATTGGACGGCTTTCCTTAAATTTAGTTGCGTATGGCTCTAATCAAATTGGGATTTGTATATCAATTATAAGCAATATTAATTATAAAAGCAGCCTTTTAAGATTGAGATTCCAACGAAGCACACACAGCAAAAAGACAAGGTAGCCAGTGGAATTCAATTCGTATCATCCCAAGTAAGCACAAAGCCAAAAGCATTCTTCTTTCTCCCCATGCAGATAAACTTGAGCCGCCATTGAAGCACTTTAAATATAGCTCTCTTCTCATTACTTCTGACATCTCTCTCGAGTTGCATGAACTTTGCTTAAGCACTAATTGAATTGCATGCAGGTACGTTCATCATATTTTACTGAGATTTTGTTTGTTAATTGTTTACTTTCGGAATCATAGTAAGAGCTTTATTTATGGTCTACAATAAGAGATATTGAATTAACATTAAATATAACTATTTGTAATTTTTCTCGTATCATGTTAGATCAACAAAGACAATTGGTATACAAAGAGTGTCTAAAAATTAAGTTAAAAATTTTGTTACAGCGTCTCAACCCATATTAAAATTTAAATGTACGAACAATTATTTCTTCTCTTTGTTTAATTTATTTTGATTGTTTAATTTACTTTACATACTCATTTTCTTAAATCACATTATACAATTTTTACTTTATGCTGTAGTTTTGAAAATAAATTTAGTAAATATGTCATATTTTTTTTTAAATTTTATAATGGACATGTATTTAGGGAAACAGTACAAATGGTAACTGTAATCCCAACAATATGGCTTCAAACAGAAAAGTTAGATTTCTCTTGGTGATGACGTGGTGTTAGGTTTGAAATTAATTTTGCTTCTTATTGAAACGTATGTATACTTTAGTATTAAAAGTTAACCAAAAAAAATTCTTGACAAATATCATTTCCTAAATTGTAGGGGATCAATATAACAAATATAAAACCTGATAGTAAAAGAGGAAAAAAATGTTATATAAATTCATGAGTTCGAGTTCCTTCAGGCATTAATAGGGATGGTCATTGAGGCTCTTATCTGATTAACAATTTTAGGGATCCGATGGATTAGTTGAGGTGTGTGTAATTTAGTTCAGACACACCAATGATCAATATATATATATAACAAATAAAAAAAAAAAAAAAAACTCTAAGATGGTTATTCTTATTCTCATCATAACCCTTAAGAAGTATTTCCCTCTATTTTCTATGAAGTTAATAAAAAAGAAAAGATATTAAATACTCTTATTTTTGTTGATTTTGATTGTTATATTTATAATGTACATTTTTTAATATTCTTATTAGTAGCGTCAAGAAGAAGATTAAGTATAAGAATCCAAAGATAATTATTTCCACAAATTAGATGTCAATTAAAGATTTCTAATCGTGCTTTACAATTACAACTGCTACGTTGCCCAACCTAGTTATCATAGTTTTGAGTCATAATCAAAAAGTCTTTTTCCCACTATGTGGGAAGCCAAAACCTAATTCTCTTGTGGAAATTCTATAAGCCACCACCTCACCAAACTCAACAAAGATAATAATCAAATTTGAAGATGACTAGTCAAAACATGTCTCATATTTGATGCAATTAATCTTGATTATACTTTTGGCGAAGTTTAAATGCTTTTTCCTTTAAAGGCCAAAAAATTTACCAAGAAATATAATAGGAAAGAAATAAATGTGTTGTCATTGTCTTTGCTGGAAGGCACTATAACTGGTTCAGAGTTTTAATGTGATATTTCATCAACTTTTGCATGAAAGACAAATACAGAAAAGTCCAAACCAAATTAGGTAATGCCACATTATTAGGGTGTGTTTCACCCACAAACAGACAACATACATTCATGCATGCAACCTTACATGGCTACACATTACACATCTGAGTTGTAGGTTCTTGGATTTTTTTTGGAAACAAATCAAATAGAGTTTATTTGTTTTTTACTGGAATTTTCTTGCATGAATGCTTGTTGGCAATATTTTCCTGTTCACTTTAAAGATTGGAGGGGTCCATTTGTATATTTAAAGGTGGGGTGATAAGAGGTGTCGTAGTACAAAGCTTCCTTGAGTTGCTTTCTGTGGTAAAGCTTTTCTGCATGTAGTATATTCTTGATTCTTCTTTGCGGTTTGTGATATTATAGATAAAATCTTTTGATTCTGTTAAAAGGGTTTTATAATTGTTGTATTTCTGCAGAAAACAAGCAACTGGGGTGCCGTTTAAGTTGAGAAAATTTTCAGAAATCATCTTGAGAGGTGGGAATTTGGCGGCAAAAGAGAGATTTTTTTGGGTTAATTTTAATTACTCCATCTGGGTTTAAGTTATAGTAGAAAGGTATGATCTTGTTTCTCTCTCACGCTCTCTTTGGTTTCTAGAATTTCCTCAAGAATAGTTCAAAATGATTTGGATAAAATGGACTTCTTGTGATTCTTACTAACTCACCCATTTTAGGATTTGATTTGACCAGACCAGACCATAACTCTACGAAATTGTTGGCCAGGACAAGTGTCACGCTTGAATTGAAATTCGACATAATCAGAGATTATCTTCTGTTCAACCAAACGTTGCTTTTACGTTCTTTTAGGGCTAGAAAAAATATTGCTTTTTCATATGTCAAAAACTCTATTGTTAATTTTCTTTTCCACTGTCACTGCAGAGATTTTGGTTTCATCTTATATAAATTACTTGGTTCATTGTCTTTCTTGATTGTTATTATTTGATCATTTTTGTTAATTTTATCCAACAATGGTAGCTGAAAGAAGATTCTGTAAGCATCAATTTATTGAAGAAATCATTTTTTCCCCTTTTGTAGCTTTTAAGAAATGCAGAGTTATTGAATTTTTTTAATATATTTTGAACTTCTTTCTTTTTGGAACAGTTTCAGCGAAAATGGTAACTAAAACAGTGGATCTCCGTTCGGATACAGTGACCAAACCAACTGAATCCATGAGGGCTGCCATGGCTAATGCTGAAGTTGATGATGATGTATTGACATATGATCCAACCGCCTTCCGATTAGAATCAGAAATGGCAAAAGTCACGGGCAAGGAAGCTGCCTTATACGTTCCATCGGGCACAATGGGTAACCTCATTAGTGTCCTTGTTCATTGTGAGATAAGGGGAAGTGAAGTCATTCTTGGAGACAATTCTCATATACATATTTATGAGAATGGAGGCATTTCGACAATTGGTGGTGTGCATCCAAGGACAGTAAAGAACAACAAAGATGGAACAATGGATATCGATTTAATTGAAGCTGCCATCAGAAATCCAAAAGGGGAGCTTGTGTACCCAACTACCAGGCTTATCTGTTTGGAGAATACACAAGCAAAGTAAGTTTATTATTTCCGTGAAATTGGCCTGGAATTCATTGCATAATGTTGTTATATGTTTGACTTGGGCTGTTTCTGGACTAGACTGTACATATATGTTGCACATATTGGCTCCAATCCACTTCCATCAATATCTAAATACTCAAATTGCATTTGATTCCTTTGAAAAAGAGGGTTCAGTTTTTTGCGGCTTAGTGGATTGTTCTGTGTTCTCTTTTCACATTAAAAATTAAAGCTTATTTATTAATAGTCTGATTAGCAGTTATGTGAGGTGAAATGGATGTCGGATGCTTCTTCAAAATTATATTATATTTGTTGGGATTTCCATTTATTCAGTTGGGTGAATATTAGTTTGCTCTGTTTTGGAGACTAGTGAGAATCATATTGTCACTTATCCTGTATTATCTATGCATTAGAAAGGAAGATATTATTAACCATTCTTGTTTCTTTCTTTTTATACTTAAACCAAATACTGTCAACCATGTATTGTAACACTAGATGAATGCTCCATTTACTTTTTACTTAGAAATTCAATAACTATGAAGAGCTTTTAAAAAATTGCTTGCGCAAAATGGGTGTTAGTCTGTACAACAAAAGTTCATTAACCATAGATGGGGAAACTAGTTATTGTACTTAATACAGGTCCTTTTCAATTGTTTAAGCAATGGTTCTTCTCTTGGATAGCGTATCATATATCAATTATAAATGTATATTAAAGTATAAAAATAGCTATCCAGCCAAAAACTGAGAAATGGAATTATATCATATGCTCTGTAATTGCAGAATATTTGTAGTATCCTCTTACTGGTGTAATTGAAAAAACTAATATCACCTACATAGTTACAATATTACTCCTCTTTGCAATACACTATATTTGATTATTCTTTTGTCCTTTGTGGTTCATAATTTTTTTATCTGGTATTTTAACTGCAGCTGTGGCGGGAAATGCCTTTCTGTAGAATATACCGACAGAGTTGGGGAGCTAGCCAAGAAGCATGGTCTAAAGCTTCACATTGATGGAGCTCGAATTTTCAATGCAGCAGTTGTGAGTTAATTTCTTTTCCTTAAATAAGTCTTTACGACTCTATAACATTGGATGGCCTGCCTCTCTATAATGATATAATCCAACATGGAAATAGACATGAGGAAGCTGATGTCCCTAGAATTAATTTTTCTTGGTTGGTATAAAATTTCAGGTTTGACATCTTATCAGTATAAGAATTTAATATCAAGGACTTCTAAGATCCAAAATTTGAAGTGGCTATATTTTATTCTTTTATGTGGTAAAATATCAGCAATATTAGCATATTTCCAAATTAGAACAAGGAAAAGCAATCTAGAAACTTTATGGATTTTTCACATAAAGAATTACTTTTAGCAGAAATGTTATAATGAGAAGCAGATTGAAATGGTAAACTGTTTAGAAGAATGAATGCTTGGAAGTCATATAAGCCATAAGGAAATGTAGTGATAGGTTATTGAGACACATATTATAAATTACTGTTTTTCATTTCTGGAAATTTTCAGCTTATGGTGTGAATTCGGAACTACTCATTAAAGGTTACACAAGGAAACTTGGTTTATTTCCTTACACAGAAAGCATCCTGAAATAGCTTATAAAGGAAGTAGTCCTTTGCAGCGTTGCATATGAATACCACCGTGGGAAAACTGTTATTGAGAATGTTGTTTTTGGGGACATTCTTTTAAAAGGACAGTGCCTTTTAGAGAAATAACTTGAACTTTGATGGTTATCAGGTTGATTACTCTAATAAGATCATTTCTTTTGATTTTTCTGGGACTTGGATCAGCTCTGTTTTCAACTGGCCATTGTTTGAATGAGTTTGTCAACAAACAAATTTAAGAATGATTTTAGTGGCTTTAAATCTGGCTTTTTCACATGTCAACTGAGTGCTCATCATGCAGTGATTGTGTCTGGATATTTCCAGCTCTCATTCTTCTCACTGGATCTTAGAATGGAAATTTTCAATCTCATTTTTGTCAAAACTTCTTGTATCTAATCCACAGTATGATTCTGCCAGGCACTCGGTGTACCTGTTCATAGGCTTGTACAAGCTGCTGACTCAGTTTCGGTATGATTACTCAGTTTTGATGTTATTAATTAATTTCATTGATGCAATTTTTTATAGTTCTTAACTTCTTATCACATTTGGTAAGTTCCTATTATCTATATGTCTGCACTCTCTGAACTCATCTCAATATTCTGAACCAGGTATGCCTATCAAAAGGTCTGGGAGCTCCAGTTGGTTCTGTTATTGTTGGTTCTAAAAGCTTTATCGACAAGGTGATGGTGAAAAGTTTGCAGTCAGGATATTAAACTCTTATCTTCTCCGAGTTCCGAAGAAAATTTATTAAACATTTCCCTCTCTGCTCCTTTAGGCTAGAAGGCTCAGGAAAACCTTGGGTGGGGGGATGAGACAGATTGGCATCCTTTGTGCTGCTGCCTTGGTCGCTTTACAAGAGAATGTTGGAAAGCTCGAGTCTGATCACAAGAAAGCCAGAATATTAGCAGGTAAATAGTTCTCCAGTGTCAGTGTACTTATGCACCTACATCTTTGGTTGGTGAAACAGATATTTTCCCTCTCGAATTTCACATTATTAAAAATTACTCTTAAACTTTTCAAATTAACAGATCTCTTTTGGCTACTGTTATTTGCAGAAGGATTGAATCAAATTAAGGGTTTAAGAGTTGATGTTGATTCAGTGGAGACAAATATCGTAAGTGTTTTGCTTACCAAAGTTCAAATTTTGGCAAGTTGTTATTTGTTATATACTCGAGGTTAGAAAATTTCTGATAGATTTGCTATTCACTCTTTAAATAAGAAATGAAGCTACAATCTTTTAGTAGCCATGTCAGTTTTAACTTGTTTTTGTATCTATTTTTCCTCATAAAGTCTAAAACCATAGATGAATATTAAATAGGGCTCATATCTCATCTTCATATATTTGTTAGAATTTCAGTTAGCTTCAATCTAAACTTCAATCAGAGTTTTTGAAAAAAGTACTGTATTAATACACCTCTGTTCATGCATATTACCAGTTATATTTTGACATAGAGGAGGGCGCAAAAATCAAAGGAGACAATCTATGCAAGAACTTGGAAGAACATGGTGTACTCGTGATGCCAGAGAGCTCATCAAGGTATGCCTAAATACTCAAACATGATTATATTCTTCCCATTGTTCATTTTGAATGTTTAGATAAGTCCACCTAGCTTGAAACAAGTACACATTAAGTTCATCCAAACTAAATACTCAAACATGATAATATTTTTCCGATTGTTCATTTTGGATGTTTAGATAAGCACTTAACTTTATCCACCTAGCTTGAAACAAGTACACATAAATTTCATCCAAACTCTAGAAGTTTTTGCTTAAATAGAATAAAAGTTAAAAACTTTTTATTGAAGGGCCTTCTTGTGTTGCTTTTCCCCATTTGGTGGTAGTATACCAACCATTTTCTACATCTAATACCAAAAGGTTCTGCAAAACCAAATCACAATCATGGCTCTTTAGAGTAGTGGCTTGACATAACGTGTTAATTTCTTCCACGCTGTTGAAAAAATCATTGATAAAGCACAGAGGGATATATATAGCAAGGTAATCCTGGTATATATTTTTGGTGATTTCAGAATTCGAATTGTTCTCCACCATCAAATTTCAGCTAGTGATGTGCAGTACACATTGTCATGCTTTCAGGTGACCAATATCACATTGTCATCCACCTCCTTCTGTTAATTTCTTCAATCAGAATTAAACTTCAAAGTTATAACTTAACATTTCTGTTTACTTGCATTTTGCAGCAAGCTTTGAGTGGAGCACATGAAGAAAATGGGAACTAGCGGGAGAACTTGTAATCTTTCACTTTTAAAAGTGCTTCCATAAAGTTAAAAAAAAAAATGTTAAAATCTTTCTTGTCAAATCTATTAAGAGACATTGATTACTGTCTAAGAACTCATAACTGCACCAAGCCCTTGCTAGTTATCAACATTTAGCAAGTTTCTATAAAATGCATTTTATTTATTTAATTTGTTTTTGGCTTGATTATTAATTGTGTGATTAAATTTGTATTTGACATGCCTTATTTATTATCTAAGCTTCATTTAGTTTGCTTCTGGGTAAATTTTGATATAATATTTTCTTTTAAGTTCAATTATTTGAGGGGATAATTGTAATTATTTAAAGTATTAAGGACGTAACTGTAATAAGTTACTGGGCTTTTTGGAAATCCAAAGGAGGGCGCGGGTCCACGCTGGGCTTGAACCCCTGGCAGAAGTGCTCATCCCAAATAAGATGGGTAAGTTCAGAGTCAGAGCCAAGAATATCTTTTTTATCCGGGTTAACCATTTGACACTAGTTTAGCAACATGGTCTTTGATCTTTCCCGGTGCAAATAACCATGTCGGAATATGCCATTTATTTTGATGTCACTGCATCGGAATTAAGAATCCACGTTATGACCATATAAAAACATCTAAAAACAATACTAATTCAAGAAATTAAATTTAATCAAAATACAAACAGAAAAAAGTAATGAAATTGTATCTCATTATAATTAAGTTTTCCTATGTATTACTCTTTTGTTACACAATTTGTTATTAAAAACACCAGCAATTGACCCATTTTTACAAATTTAAGTAGAGTAACTAATTAATGAAAGGGGGCCAAAGTGTCAATTATCGAACTTAATAGTAGTGACATAATTTCTAAAGTTTCAGGTGGTGTAAATGCTATTTGCCCTTAATCAAAGAAACACAAGGGGAAATTCGTGAAATGTGTCCAATATATATCGGACAATGAGAAGTAGAATCTCTAACAGTAATAGCAAAACAAGCCCATCTGGATAGCGTGGGATTGGGCCCATAACAATAATAGCAATAAAAAGGCCCGTCTTTATAGCTTGGGAGTGGCCATTAGTTTTGAACTACACTTACTGACTCTGTGTATCGAATCCTCATCCCGACTAACATAAAGTGCACATGATCGACATGAAGACTTCCCACGTTGCATTCCATGTCAGTCGGGATGGAGATTCAGTAGGCAGAGTAAGTAAGTTTAGTATTTCCCATATTCATACAAATATAAAGAGAATAACTTAAATTTGACTTTCATATGGAGAAGGAGAAACTATGATTGTTGGTTGTGAATAAAGTTTCTTTTGATGCTTTTAACTGATCCTCTTCTCTGCCACAAACTATATATCCAACATTAATTAAATATAATTAATGGCCTTATTTAGCTTCAATTTACTAATTACTACCAATAATCTAACTAAGCTTGTTGTAAGCATAACTTTGTAAATTATTAGGAGACTGGGGCATAAGCCTGAGTTTAAGTTTCTCATTCTCGTCCTTGCGTTATGCGACTATCTAAAACTTATATAAAATTATAAAATTAAGTATATATCAATCATCATAATTTTGAAATATGAGTAATGAATTGAATTTAGACATTAACCATTCAAGGAGAGAGACAAAAGTGAAGATAAATAAGTAATATTAAGATTAAGAAGTTAATTAACAAGGTTACTCACTTGTGTCCCATACATACATACATACATACGGGGTAGTCGGATAGGACAATGCCATGGCAAAATGAAGTCTGTTTGATTTGATTTGATTTTTTGGGAATTTCGGCCTTGCCTAATGGGTGGGGAGTCTTTAATAATGAATAAAAATAAATAAATTCTGTTATTAAGAGACAATAGAAAATAGTAATTCATTTGCATTAGTCATGGTAGTGTCCATCTCCATCATACTGAAATACCAATACTATTTATAAGATTTTACCATTTGAGATTCATATGAAATGGATTTATGAGTGGTTATATTTGTTCCCATAACTAAACTAAAGGAACTTCATTTGATATCGGTGGTTTGAGCTTAAAGGAACCGGAAAAAATGAATGTTGGCTTAGATTCCTTTATTCGTATCCTCCCTTTTAAAAAAAAGGGAGAAGGATAAGTAACCCTTGTGTTTTATTATACTAGATCTAGATCAATTACCTCTAGTAAAAGGAAGTCCATTCCTAAGGAAACTAAAGAAAATACTATTTTAAATATTCAAATTTAAATTAGCAGGCCAGAGCCGAGAAAATCAATCCTCTTGTGATTGTGATCCTACTAAAGCTCGTGGTTGCTGCGATTTCATATGCACTGTTCCTACGAATCATATGTCCCTTTCATTCTTATTTTTTTAATTCACGAAACTTAATGAGAATAAAGAAAATACTATTTTAAATATTCAAAAAAATAAAAGTGCTTTTTTAAGTAGGTTAGTACCGGCACATGATTTATTAGCATTGTCAAAAATTCAATGTCTTTTAGCATTATCAAAAATTAAAAGTCTAAAGAAGGAAGAATGAAAGAACAGTGCACTTTATAGGTAACTGCATGTATTCGCTGGATCTAGTGAGAATTATTTTCGTGTACTAATCAAAGATCGATCAGTTTATTGTCTCTGTCCACTAATTTCTATTTTTGAAAAATCAGTAAAAGTTGTGTATGGACAAGTTGAATTGTATTAACAAAGACTAGGTTGATGTGGTTCACCCAAATTATATCTATAATTTAATGAATTGAATTGAATTGCAACCTCAATTATCTCTGAATTTAGAGATAGTATTCCGTTTTTTTCATCATAGCTACCGGGTGTCCTTCCTGCCAAAGAATGATTAAGTGAAGTGAAGAAGAAGCCAACGGAAATGGAACAAAATTGGCACTATGCTTGATATTTCTTTACAGTGGCCCATCCAAACAGTGGAATAATTTTGATGTGAAATGTGAATGCCTGAGTAGATATAGTGGCTAGGTTTGGCTTTTCCCCATAATAATATCTCACTGTTCCCACTTGAATGTCTACAGTTTGATATGCATTTGTCAATAATTCTCATTAAATATGAATTATAACGGCACCATGGTAAAGAAGCAAAATTATGCAATAAATATTAACTAAAGAAAATTATAAAGAGTTATAGGGAGAAAAATTACAATTTATTCTTAATTTCTTAAAATTATCAAGTTGTTGTTATGTTTCCTATACATTGGCTGAACCAAGGTCATAAATTTTTTCTTTTTTTCATTTTTCTTTTATTTAGGCTAATATTGGTATTTGAAATTTAGACATTTGACTTTGATATCTGTTAAGTATCATCCCACACCTTATTGAGGGTTCGACATTATTTGGTTTAGAATCTTCAAATCATTCCTAGCAAAACAAATAGTTGAAGCCTTCCAAGATAAGACTGCAACTATGTTATTATGAGGGAAGTTGTTCTAAAAAATATCAAAATTCAAAGTCTAAAGGAGGAAGAATGAAAGAGCAGTGCACTTTCTAGGTAACTGCATGCATTTACTGGATGAGCATTTATAATTTAGTATGTTATGTATTGATTGATTTTCCTAAAGGGAGATCAAGTAGTGACAATTATTTTCATTGTACTAATCAAAGATTGATCAGTTTCTGTCTTGTCCACCAATTTCTACATTTGAAAAATCATGAAATATTGATACAGAATCCAAAATCCTTTTCTTGTAAAATTCACGGTGTTTAAAAAGGTTTAATGCCAGTGTTAAGGTTGTTGCACTAATTCTTCCACATAGATAATATTTTCCATCCTGTTTCAACTTAGGCTTTTATGCCTATCTAGACACGGAATAATAAGGCAATATTAATGTCGGACAATAAGACCCATTTAACACTACACACATCGTTCATTTTCTAATTTCATGTAGTATAGCTGAAAAAAAGACTTCAATAGCTGAAATAATGGTAAATATTCTGATTTTAGAATTCCTATTTATGTTTTTTTTTCCAACCCAATTTCTCTTATAGAAAATTATCAAATAAAGTTGAAAGGACAAAATCATTTTCGTTACTCTAGATTAGTTGGAGAAGAGTCATGTGATACTAAATCTTTTTATCGAGGGAAGTTGTTCTGAAAATTAAATCTTCATTTAGTTAAGTATTTTAGTAGTTAATTCTCTTTACCTACATTTATATTCTTTTGTGACAAAAAAGGGTTCTTTCAACTTATTGTACTCTTGCACTTGTTTATTTTATTTCTTCACTTGAAGGTAGCGTTTGGTTCGGAGTGATATAGATTAATCCTATAATCTTTGTTTAATTTTCAAGATTCCCTCGTTTGGTTTCAAGTAATAAAGATTCCGTCATATTTTATTGTAATATAAATTTGGGTAGTAACTGGTATTTTAAAAGTCTGTGGTATGGAAAGTGTCATTAAGTCATTTTGGGGAAAAAGTCGTTTACTCTATTTAGTATCTAACAAATGAATTAGCTGAAATAGTGTTGTCTATCATCTTGAGATTCCTTCTTTGGTCAAGTGTTTTTTCCTTTTATTTTATTTCTTTTTTACGTTTCTCTCTTTTTTCCATTGTCATTTTCCTTATTTACTTCTCTCATTAAATAATATTTACAATAATGCTAGCCTTACTCCCCCTTCCTATCCCTTTTCTTACCCTCTTACGTGGCAATATGCCACCTTATCTGCCACGTAACCCAAATGCCACATCATCAGGCAGCCAAATAAAAAAATAATTCAAAACCCTGCCCCATTTTCACATATAACAAACCCTATATAAATTCCAATGTTCTGAAAACCGGATCGGACCGTCCGGTCGAACAGGTTCGACCGGTAACCAGCGGCATATCCGGTCTGGTATCCTTTGAAAACCGTTAATTTCATTCAACCAGATTGGATCACAGTTGGACCGTCAGAATAGTATTGAATCGTGGTCCAATTGCAGTCCAATAGGAGCTCAATCTCATCGATTCCGACATCGTTCGGGGAAAACACCACCATTAGACTTGTGGCATCTCCATGACAAAACCCAGCCATTTTTGTGGCCATCGTCCAGCCTTCGTCGCTCATGGTCCACCTAAAGTTTATGCGACTGTCGGACTTCTTTCTAATTCCGGCTAGTTTCGGCGCCGATGGAACTCCCTAGCACCACCATCGATTCGCCGGCACCTATACGTCAAACCCAGATCCAAACCTGATCGGCCGTCGAT